GAGCTTGCCAGGTGCGTGGGTAGATTCTTCTTCCATCAAGATTCCCACCCTATCTGTTAGCTTGTCGATTCTAGCATCTTGATTTTGCATGCACTTGGTCAAGCCAACGATTGCTTCCGTCAAGTTTGCCAACTGCTCCTCCACAGATGAAGTGTTTGTCACCATGGCTTGCATGATTGTCGTGGACGATGGAGAGTAGCATGGATTGTCACACATATTGATCCTCAATTGGCTCACGCTGTGTGGTGTAAGTGGGGAGGATCCATCACTTGAAGCATCATCATTTTCCTCCACAGTAGAGTGCTTGGATCCGGAGAGGTCAAGTAGAGCAAGAGTTTTCTTGACCTTTTCAACAACATCGCTTCCTCCTTCGGGTGCGTTTGTGGAAGATCTTGATCCTTTTGAGGATGAAGATCCAAAAATGGGGGTTGATACGGACAGCACATGGGGTGCTTATTGTCCTAACGAGCTTGCTTTTCTCCTCGTAACTGGTCCAAAGCTTCCAAAAGTAACATCGAGGATGCTTTCCACATCAGCATAGAACCTGAAATTAGAAGCTTTGGTGGAAGTTGAAATGGAGTTGATTTTCTTTGAAGCCATTTCAACGTTCTTGAACTTTGGTGATTTGAAAAGTTGAGATGAGAGGTAGAGATTGTCCCACTGGGCGTGCCAGAATTTGTAGACAATAAATTTGCGTCAAGAAAATAAAATCGAGACCGAAAAATACTGTAACAATTGTAGTATTTTATGTCAAATAATATGAGTGTACAATCTCTATGAATCCTCTGATTCTTCTTTTCAATAGTAAATAAATTCAAAGGCCTTTGAGCTTGATCTTGAACCTATATTTGTTGTCACGAATGATGATCTTGAATTCAACTAGCACGAACTTTGATTTGAACTCGTACTCCTTGAATCTTGATTTGTTCTTCGTTCTTGAGCTTGAACTTGATTTGTTCTTCGTTCTTGAGCTTGAACTTGATTTGTTGAACTTGAACTTGATTGCTTGAAGCTTGAAATTTATGGAGGAATTTGCAGCGTTTGATCCACGAGCTCTTTCTTGCTTCTTGTTATAACTTCTGGTATTTTTTTCTGGGTTATGAAGACCCATATTTATAGTTGTGGGAGGGAAGAGTTATGATAAGAACAAACTCTTTCCGACCAATCAAATTGAAGTGTGACAAGACCGTATTTGATTAGCCAGAACATGTCACTTGCACACGTGGCGCGATTTCACTAGCCTTTTAATGTGACTTGGTATGCCTTGTCATTTTGACACATGGCATGATCCCATTGGTTCTTCTGTTTGACTTGGCGTGCCACGTCATTTGACACGTGGCGCCAAACTGGGCCTCTAGGAAAATGACATCTTTGGCTTAATGAAGTGGGTTCATCGCTTTAGCCTAATTAAATAGGCTAGCCCAATAGATTAAGACTTATTTATTTAATCCATATATATATTGGACCTATATAATTAATTCATTTATATAGTAGCCCATAATATTTATTTGGACCAATATATCTTGAATTTAAAATATAATCCAAATTATTTTATGGATTTAATTTAATAAAATTTATATGCTTACAATAATATTTTGAGGTATAGCAGGGGCCTTGTTGTCAGCATTATCATAGTACTCTTTTCTATCCGTTAGAGGCTTTGTAGACATAGTGTGGGTTGTATTTTGAATTGGGTAAGTCAAACTCGAAAAGTCTTACTTGTAACACATGTTTTCACTTATAAAACTATGCATGTGTAACGTATTTTGGGAAATGCAAATGAAGTAACAAATGGTAATGAAATTGGTGTTGTTCATGTAATCTTCTCGTTGTGTAATGAATGGTATATATCTTCACTTTATTCATGGGTAAGGTCGAGTACAAAGCATCAAATAGGCTTGCTTGACCGGGGTATCTCGGTTGAGCGCCGATCGCGCTCTCCGAGGTCGGGGCATGACAACTTCAATATCAAATTTAGGATTTCCATGGTAGAAATTAGAGAGTTAGGTAGAATTAGGAGTTTTCGTAAAATTGAGATTTAGACCTCAAATTGAGGTCGGATTTCGGAACAAATCACATAACCGGGTTCAGGGATAAATGGGTAATCGAGTTTTGGTTCGAACCTCGGGTTTTGACCAAGCGAGCTCGGGGTTGACTTTTTTAAAAATAATAAAAATTGAACCTCTTTCATTAATGGTTAGTTTATAAAGCTTATTTTGAACCGTTTGATCGATAATTTGCTAGATTTGGTTGGTTTGGAGGCTTGTTCAAAAAGCAAAGTCGTGGTTGATTGATTTCTTTGATTGTGGAGCGAGGTAAGTATCGTGGTTAATCTTGACTTGAGGGATTAGGACTTGTTAGTCTATTTGCTACGTGTTTTATGTGTGAAGATAACGTAAGATTTTGCTTTCTTCCCACTCATGAAGAACAATAATGTGAGGGGAGGGCTTCCGTGGAAAAAGGGTAAGTTTTGGATGAGAGGGTGAACACTAAAATAGTAGTCACAAAATTTGACTATTTTTTTATGAAGGCGAATTGATAAGAAAAGGTACTTCCATGTGTATAAAAGCATAAGGGAAGAACGCCCCTAATCCAGGTATAATAGCATGGGGGTGCAAGGGTGAAGATACTAGAGTGGTTTGGAACTCCTGGTCAGCTTTCTTTCGTTCGAGCTTTCTTTCTTATGTCTTTACGCGAACCAATTATGCGTGGCGCTAAAGAGGAACTATTAAATAAATATTTGCAACTTTAGAGCGCAAGTCAAACTCATGATAGGTCATTGAGGAAGACTTAGCTTAGGGCTGAGAAGTAAGGAGACTCCAACATTAATTTCCATTTTTTTTTTATTTTTGTAAGGTGACGAGTACCTATGCGTTGTCATTGGGTTAAAGTATGCGGGTGAAAATTATTTCTTTGTATTATATTATTTCATTAAATATGTTATTCATGCTTAGGTTAGATTATTACTTCTTCGATTATTTGTTTCATATTTATTGTTTATTTTAAAAATGTTGAATATTTTGGAAGTTGAAGTTTGATATCATTGCACCATATTTGAAGTTAAATTATTTTTCGCATTGTTTATTATTTGGATTTATATTATTACATGGTGAGGATGAGAGTAAAAGCACGAAGGGTGATGCAATGCCATTTTATTCATATTATTACATGGTGAGGATGAGAGTAAAAGTGCTAAGAGTGATGCCATATCATTTCATTCATATTATTACATGGTGAGGATGAGAGTAAAAGCACGAAGGGTGATGTTGTGTCATTTTAATCATATTATTGCATGGTGAGGACGAGAGTAAAAGCACGAAGGGTGATGCCATGCCATTTTCATATCCTTGATTTGACTGATTTTCGATTTTGGTGATTTACGTGGTTATTTCGTGGTTTCATACTTGTCGTACTTATTATATCTTCCCTTTTTCGCATGTCCCCTCCCGACTAGTATTTACCATTTTACTCTCATTTAGTTTCTTTATATACACTTGTATAGGTTCATTTTACGTAGGTGTCTTGTCATAACCTCGTCACTATCTCGTCGAGGTTAGGCTCGACACTTACATTGGGTCGGTTGTACTCATAATACACTTTTGCACTTCTTGTGTAGATTTTGGTGCTGATCCTAGAGGCGCTTAGTAGATTTCTACTCGGATCCAGTCACAATTGGAGACTTGAGGTATAGTTGCACGACATCCGCAACCGTGAAGTACCCTTCCCTCATATCATTACTATTTTATTTAGTTTCAAAATAGTTGTACTTTGTTCAGACCTTATTTGTAGCACTCTAGATGCTCATATATTCGTGACTCCAGTTTCTGGGATTCTGTTTGTTTTACATCATTTATTAGTTCATCACTTTATTTCAGACTACTCGATTTTATGGTTATCATTTGATTTCGATTGTTTAAATGGTTAATAAATATAGCTAATATTGGCTTGCCTAGGAAATGAAATGTTAGGCACCATCACGATCCCGAAGGTAGAAACTCCGGGCCGTGACAAATGTACAAGGCTAGAGATGAATGACTATAAAGTTGTGTTAATTTTATTATGTTGGTCTCCCCTTTATACAGCTGATTAGGATATAAATCCAAGAATTACAGGTAAGGTAAAGAAAATGTGTTAAATTATAGAGCTATACTCATAATCCTAAGTAGAGGTGGTAAAATGGTTAAAAGAAAATAGTTATCCACCCATATTATCCATTAAAAATGGGTTGGATAATGAACTTTTTAAAAACGGGTTGAATATGGATAAGAATCATATTATCCACTTAGAAAATGGTTAACTAAATGGATAACTAATGTGTTTAACTTTTACATGTGTAAAGCCTGAAATTGGGGGTTCCTCAAGTTTGGCATACTAGGAATTCTCCCAAAAGTGATCATATTCAAGAAGTCATGGATAATATGGATATTCATATTATCCGTCGGATAACCCGATTTTTTATCCTTCTCAAATACGGACCGGGCCGGATAATTTATTTATTTTTTGAATTATCCGTTTTGACCTGCCCATATCCGACCCGACCCGCCCGTTTTCCACCCCTAATCCTAACATACTACAATCAATAAAATCACAATTCCAACAAGCTGTTGAAAACATACAATAATCGATCATAGTTTTATGTAGAACTTACGTCGCGCAACTACGTTAATTGAAAATATAGAGCCCCAAAATAGATCAATTGGGACCACTATCCATCCTCGCTATGAAACATTTGATTTTTCTTTAAACGCAAAATTATACTTCTAAGAAAAGTAAAAGGTGAATTTGAAGTTACCTAAAAATTATTAAAATTGAAAAAACTACACAGTATGTGTAGAATTTTCGTAGTATATGAAATATAAGTTTTGCTTTAAAGTATAAAGGGAATATATCTGAAACTTAATGATATTTCTATGAGTGTTTAAAGTAATTAACCCAAAAAAGGTGTCATGTAAACTAAAATAGGTGAAGTAATATTAAGGCCAAATATTAATATTCGAAAAATCCAACGATATCATCGTCAACAATCCAAAACATCTGACTTCCGATTTCTAGGCTACTGTCTTCACTTGATTAAAATCATCTTTTTCTTCTCTCTTCTCTCTTCTCTCCTCTCTCTCTGTCTCTCTCTCTCATAGCTCCATGAGTGAAGGTACTTTTCTCTTAATCTTTCTTTAATTATTAGTTTGTTTTCTCATTACTCTCTTATTTTCTCTTTTTAGAAGCTTAATTTCTAAATAATCTAATGTTACCTTAAGTGGGTGTTGTCTGAATTGGTTGATTGAGTTATTTTCAACACTAAAGTTCTTTTTTGGTTTTTAAGTTCCAAAAAATGTATTTTTATATGCACTAACAGTATAATGAATTATGATAATTCTGTATGATGAATCACAGTCCTGTCCCTGTTGTGGAGCTAGAGGAGTGTGGCATTCTGAAAATGATTTTCTTCTTTTTATGATAATTGAGCTTCTTCCACTCAAACTATTAAATTTTTTACTTAAATTGTATGCATTAACAGTATAATCATTTTATTACATCATTTAAATAGGTTACTTAACATTTATTCGAGGTTACCAATCACCGCTATTAAATATACTTACTTGTAGTTAGACCTGATTCTGATTCTGTAAAATATTCTTTACACCGTCTAATACATAGAATTTAAACTCTAGAGAACCTCTAAAATTTATCTTAGTCAAACTGTTGAGTATTGGAATGAAACAGAATGATATGGACGAATCATATAGTCCACAACTAGTTTGCGATTGAAGCTAATTATTATTGGAAATTGTGTTGCTCGGATCCTCCAAAGATGCCACCAGGTGTGTGTCAGATCCTCCAAACGTAATGCATATTTGGAGGATCCGATATGGGTGCGGCGGCATTTTATCCGAGCATAGGTTGCAAACCATAGCTACTTTGCTTAATTTTCCTGTAGTGTTGTTGATTTAACTTCTCTACGGTTCATTGGGTGTGACAGAACCGCTCAGATTACTCAAGCATTACAAAGGGCATATACTCGTTTGAGGTTTCCTGAAGACCGAGGGTGCCCAACTGGTTTGCTTCATCTGCTTGCTGAAAGTCTTCTTTCGGTTTCTTTCACATATTCCCATATTTCGATTGCCACACGTTTTGCTTCCATAACCGTGCGTGATCATGACACTGGGGGACTGCCAATGATTATAGAAAAGGTTTTCGAGCTATTGAAGTAGATTGAAGACGCTATCATGGGTGCATTTTGTTGCTGTTTGCGAGATGAATGTGAAGATTTGGCCAATCCCAACAGCTCAATGTATAGGAACTGCTTATGCCCTCGATCTTTTGTTCAGAACTTCTTGCATGTGGTATGCTTTTTTACACAATTTTGTTGGATAATCTCCTCTTTTTGTTCTCTTTGCAAACGTACTCCCTGCTACTTACTGATTATTCATTCAATGGTAACTTTTCTAGTATTTCTGTCCAAAATTGAGAATACTCTTCCTTGAATTGTTATCTAGTTAGAGCTTCAAACTTAATTTTTGTCATCTGCTCCGATATTTGGGCTAAAGCTTGATCATGTTTTGAGCAGCTTTTGATTTGTTGAACTGCGAACATCAGTGGTTGTGGCTGAAGCTGATATTTAGGTGCTTTGATAGTAGACTCAGAACTCATTTACTTTCCTTGAATTTTTGTTAATAAAAACCAGCATATTACAACTCAAAAACTAGGTAAGTTTGTGGTAGCTTGATATATAGCTGCTGCAGTTTTGGTGTTCCTCTGCTAAATTTTGCTGGAAAAGGACAGATTTAGGTTCCTCTTGCGTGAAATTACTTGAGTCTGTTTTCGTGTCTGCTAAAAGAATTAAAATGAGAAGAGCAATGGTTTAAGCCTGTGGATATGGAACGCCAATTCTTACAGACAATACCTTTTCTAGAAATAAGATCTTATAGCAAGGAGAGATTTCAAACATCTGGGCAGCCTAGTACGCGAGACTCCATTGCATTGCAAAAGGAGGTTAATTTGGCCTTCACGTTACCCCGAAACACCTTTACTATCTCACCTAGACTGACCATCAGAAGCTCCCGCACATGGCACATGAATAATTATATATTGCTATATATTTTTGCTTTTTAGTAGCTGGACCCATCTGCACAATCTCTTCATATAAAATCTTGGAGTTCAATCATTAGCAGCTTGGAGGCAAGGCTTTTGCTGAATAGGTTTCTGACATAATGATTTCCCTTCATTTGCTATTATTTAGATCATTCCTTTTTTTAAATCCTGCAGTATACATCATTGTTTCATAGAGGAGAACAAAGTGTCATTCCTTCACTGACTCAAGGTACAGCATCTCTTGATAACTCACTATCTGATATGTACCGCTCTCCTCCAAGACCATTGCCTTATGATGCCGATCCAAGATACTTCCGCTTGCAACGAGATGGACTAGTCTCAAGGCGGGAGAAAGGGTCAGGTCACTCGCATGAGGAAACTGAACCACTACGAAGAAGTGATAGTGATGATGGTTCTGAATACTTGAGTGGGGGAAGTAAATGGAATGAGTCTAAATGTGAAGAAGGATCGAAAGAAGACAATTGCAAGTCTTCGGTGAAGATGTCAACAACTAAAACGACCACTGGATTTGCTAATATCTATTCTTCAGAAGATGAAGATATCTGCCCGACATGTCTTGAAGGTAGATCAGTTGTATGAGTTTTCTATTATACCTCATTGAACTTCCTTACAAAGTAGTATATGCATGCCCTCTGCCTAGAGTCTTGTGAAATTTCTTTGGATAGACTTTATTCTGTGCTGATGGACAATTGAAACTGAAATCACTAGTCACTGCCATACTTTTGTCTGTCTAAAATCAAGGACTTGATGCAATTTGTTCTTAGGCTTGTGAAAAAATAGAAGTGCTTAACAGACGAGAGCAGTATTGAGACTAAACTGTTTTTAATGCAGTACATTTTTCCTTCTTCCTGGGTTTCATTGTCTCACTTCTGGAAACTGTCTAGCAAAGTTCAGGAATCTCTTGAATTTCAACTTTCATGACCTTGATGAGCCTCTCTCTTTCAGAATATACGGAAGAAGACCCAAAAATAATGACAAAATGCTCTCACCATTTTCACCTGGCGTGCATCTACGAGTGGATGGAGAGAAGTGACAGCTGTCCAATTTGTGGAAAGGTAAATGTGATATTCTTTACAAAATATTGGCCACTGTGTACTGTTTTTGATTACTGCTTATCTTTCACTTGCTTGAACTTATGTTGCAGTCAAGCTTGTCCTTTACCTGCTACCCCGCAAGAAGCAATCCCCAACTCTGTTGAGGGAAAAACTTCATGTTTTGTTTTTCTTTTCTCACATCCCTGTTTTAATACGATCATGTGCTTCCTATATTTGGTAAAATGACTAGTTTAAACATTTTAAAAGAACGAGATATTATTATTATTTGGTTTTATCTTTCTTTTCTCGGAAACAACCTCTGTGCCCTTCCTTCCAGGGTAAGGGTAAGACTGCGTACATCTTACACTTCCCAGATCCCACTTGTGGGAAATCACCGGTTTTGTTGTTGTTGTTGGTTTTATCTTTCTTTTTGGTAAAAAAAGTGAGAACTAGAAAAGGGGACACGAGGAGGGTCTGTGAGGAACTGTCTGCTCCACTTGGGTTTACCATTCTATTGCCGTAGACCACCTAAGATCTTTTTACCTGCTATTATGCTGTATGGTCAAAGATTCTTATTTGGTGCATAAATAGGCAAAGAGCCTGAGCTATCATTCTTCAGATTTTATTCTTAACTCTTCTCGAGTAACTGATGATCCATGGGACAGCTGCTTATCAGAGACATGTATGGATATTAGTGCTAGTCCAATCATTTTAGCTTGTTTTCATGTAATATCTAGACACTTATTCATATGGGATACTAATTATAATGGAATTACCTTAATACCTTTTTATTTCTATGTGCTGACTGCTGGTGAAATCACTTTTCCATGATCATCCAATTCTATAGTGCTTTTTATCTTCCTTCTGGCTAGCTGAAATTTGTCAATTCTTCCCCTCCTGTTCTCCTTCTTTCCACTATTTTTCGCCCTTTTGGCTGGTACTCCAAATATTAAGGAGTAAGGACTTCCAGTTAATTTTCAAACTACGTTAGTTTTAGAGTTACATTTGGAGTTTCATTGTGGAGGGTTTTTGCATGAGTCATAGTTCAAGGGTTGCTTGTAATTTACCTAGAAAATGATGCTAGAAACGAGACGGTGGATCATCAAACTGGCAACCACTTGCATTTAAAGGTGTCTTTGTGCGGTTAATAAAGGAATCTTAAGGTTTCACTGTCTTTGGGTGCTACTCCTATACCATCGCCCAAAATAGCTATGACACCCCCCCCCCCCCTCCTTCCTTTTTTTGGGGGTGTGGGTGGGTGGGGAAATTGTCAGAGAAACTCAAAAACTGCAACAGCAATTTTTGTGTTATAACAGTCTGCAAGCAGGCTGTTATATGCAATTCAAATGTCCTACCATTTAAGTTAGTCGTGTGTGTATAATGAACTTGGGAAGGAGTAAATGGCAATCACTAGGTAAGACATGTCTTTTAGGAAAACAGAGCTGGTCTTGAAATGGTCGAATGACAACAGATATGGATAAGGGTTAGTGTAGTATACCAGAATCTAGAGTGAGAGCTTGAACAAATATGAGGATGCATGTTCCAAAATAAGGGTGTTGAACACCATATGACGCCCAAATATTGGGGAGGGGATTGCATGCACTTCTTTTTAAAATTTAAATCTCGTCGTGTCTTGAGAAGTACGTCATAGAAAGTAGATTAACTGCTCCAATGGTCTTTGAATACGGGCTACCATGGTGCCAGGCTTTACGGGCTTTCTCTTCAGTCAATCACTTCACCACCCCCTTGAAACCAATATCACCAAACCATCTTTGTTGAGTTGCGTAGATATATGAATATCAGAAGTTACAGCTACCAATGTCACTTTCTAGTGGTAAGGTAGTGGTCAAAGGTTCTTATTCGGTAAGTCAAATGCTTATAGGCCAGCTGTGACAGGATTGCATGATCTGTTTAGTCGTCTTCTAGGTTCTGCAGGTTTTGGACGCCAGAACTTTCCAAAAATTCACTTAAGTTAGTTGGTTTTGTGTTAGTCTCCGATGCCCCATTTCTCTTTAGGTAGGCAATAAAGAGAAGAAGATTACCAGAAACACAGGGGATGAATCTTTTGTTTTTCAGTAACTGGTTACATATTTACAGGTTTGGAATTAGTTTTTCACAGTGTATCAAGTAAACTCTGAACAAGTAGATATGCGTAGAATCTATACATGTATAAAATGCTGTTTATGCAGAACATTATGCTGACCTCTTTTTGGTTTCTAGGAGATGGAATTCGATGACACGGGGTGATCTTTTCTCTAAAATTACAGTCTTGGATCAAATTAACCAGCAAGAGATAATGTAAAATCATTGTGAATACTGTCCAGCTAAATGTCTTTCCCTATAAAGTAAATATGAAATTACTTTTCAATACAACCCTGTCTAAAATGCATGAGCTTCATATTGCTCTGGTTTCTATTTAAGTTTTAGTACTTCCACTTGGATGGATTTTCCAGATACAATTCTCACTTATGCACCGAAAACCACAAGTTTAAAGCTCTTTACCTTGTCTTGTATCATTTAGAGTCTATTTGGAAAGCCATGTGTAATTACCTGATGGTGTAATTACTAGGGTAGTAATTATACACCATGATACTTACACATTATAGTAATTATAATGACCTGTTTGTTTGCCACAATGTAATTAAAGATATGGTGAATTTTTCCTTCATTGTATAGCCCAAATTTGTCTTATCATGTAACTGAGGTTATTCTTAGATTTTGCCTTGTTTCCTCTCTAACCCCTCAAAAAAAAAGGTTAAAGAAAAAAATGAAATTTTCAAAAACTTCTATCCAACTTTGATTTTGTATCATCAACTTCCCTTATAGTAAAATATTTACACACACCTTATTTTGATTTGTTTGTTAAAATATTGTTTAAATATTAACATTTTTATAATGTTGGAAATATGTCATTTTTGTGGCATTAATTATTGCATGTAAAGTTTTGTAACAAACTACTCTTTTGAAAGAGTTTGAAAAAGAAAAACTCATTGCTCATATTTGATTAGAGTTTAGCTTTGATAAAACACGAGAATGGAGTTGTATCCTCATAATTACAATTTCATACTTCACTAATAAAAGTTTAGATTGATAAAACCTAAATAAGAGAAGACTGATAAAACGTGTTTAAAAGTTGGGAGAGATTAAGCCATTGCTGGTACAATAAACCTAAAAGATTTCTCATATGTTGCTCCGATATGTAAATCTCCAAAGTTATGCGCTCACCCTCAATATCTCTAATTCCATTAGGATTGTCTTTTATATTTTACTTGTACGTGCCAAATTAATACTCCATCCGTTTTAATTTTTATGGCATAGTTTGATTGACAAGAAGGTAAAGAAAAAGATAAGACTTTTGAAACTTATGACTTCAAATATGTTGTAACGTTTGTGTGATTTTAAATATTTTCAAACTTATAATCTTAAACATGTCATAATATTTATGTGAATATAAAAATTTATTATTAAGGATAAAATATAAAGTTTAAGTTAAATTGATTTCAAATTCAAAAATATGTCATTCTTTTAAAATAGATTAATAAGGAAATAATGTCGGAAGGGAGGGAGTAATGAGTGGCCTTGTCGGAGCAAGTCAAGGCCCACTCTGATGCTTAAGTTAGTGAGATTCTTAAAAGAAAATCAAAGCAACAAAAGGAACGAGATATAATACTTACACAAACAATGATAAATTTTAGAAGGGTGGCTGTGAATCCTGGAGTCGCTGTGCAGTTTACCTTCTAAGTCCTATTTGCATTATATATTTTTCCTTCTATTTCCTCTCTCGTGCGTATGAGTCGACTATTGTCTTTACTTACGGATCTCGGGTTCGAGCGTTACAAATATAAAAAATTATGATAGGGAATGCTTTCGCTTTCCGCTTTAATCGCTCTTACACGGTGCAAATTCAAATTAATCGGTGTCCAAAAGGATATCAAATCTAAGGTGAAAATCTCGAAAAAGAAAAAGAATTCTGCTTTCCAAATAGCCGGTTGAATAGCTTAGAAGTTCATTTGAATTGGCTATAAGCAACCCTAAATGACTAAATTTGGTACTCTCTCCGTTTCATTTTATGTGAACCTTTTTTACTGGACGTGAAATTTAAGAAAAAATGAAGACTTTTGAAATTTGTGGTACTAAACAAGTCAAAAATGGATCCAGAGTATTTGTGTGGTTATAAAAGTTTCTCATTAAGGGTAGAATTATAAGTTTAAGCAAAATTATTTTCAAATTTAGAAATTGATCATTCTTTTTGAAACACAAAAAAAAAAAAAAAAATAGGTTCACATAGCTCGGAATGGAGAGAATAATTATTATCTTGAATAAAAAAATTTACCATTTAGTCAAATCACATATAGAAGGAAACCTTACATTTTCTCACAATCTCAAACCATCAGCATCCTCTTCTTCTCAATTCTATTTTCAAAACAATTGAAATTTTATACTTCCAGAATAATAAGTTATTTTCCTTCCAAAACCCTTTTGTTAAACCGTAAAGTTGAAGAAGATCTCTAGATCTGACTATAGACGAATGGTGCCAACTTGATGTATTCTGGTCCGATGCTGCTGCTAGAGTTTTATTGATGTTCTTTTCCTTTCAAAATCCTTGAGTTCTGCTCTAGATCTGATTTTAGATCCGGCCAGATCTGACTGGATCTACAAGAAAAGATAAAGACATGGCCGGGGAAAAATAATCACCCAAATTCGATGCTAGTTCTGACATTTTTTTGGTGTAATGATTTTGGTAATGGAATGAAGGTGTAATGGTGGATAGAAGTTATTTTCTAGGGAAAATATTCATAATCGGTGTTTATACGCACCATACAAGGTAGAAAGATTGTTTACACATTTCAAATACAGGTGCACATATTTACCGAATAATTTTGTATAATGTGAAAATGGCGTGGCCACTTTTTAAGGTGCTATTTAGTGTTTAGCCACCAATTTTAATGCTCAGCAAAAAGAGCCACTACTTTCTTATAATTAATAAGAAAAAATGTTTTTACCCCTCTTCATCTCTTTTCTTTTCTAAATTCTTTTCATTATCAAAAATTCAAAACCCTCGTTTCTCTCCAAAACATAGCTTCTTGTTACTTCCCTACATGCAGTAGGGAATATCTCCAAAAAATCACATGAGTTTTCATCATTTTTCATCGCTGCAGTAACAATTTCAGTTGCAAAGTAAGTTCGGGAATCTTGCCTTTTTTCAGATCCTAATATTTACTATTTTCTTCATTTTCTAGGTACTTTTTCAGATAAAATATCATAAATTGTTGTGTTTTTACCATTACAGTAATTGGAGGTGAAGTATTGTTCAGAAACCAACAAGATGTTATAATTTTGTATTGTTTTAATAAACAATTAAACTTTCTGGAGAAAAAAAAACAGAAAGTTAGTAATACTTGTTTAACGAAATAGATTCTGAAAAACAAAAAACAGTATAGGAATAAATCGAGCCCACTGAATACACAGTGTGTCCTTAAGGAAATTATTCCCCTCAAGTACCCGAGGTGCTGGAATATATCTTCCTAGATAGAATGATTTAACTCACCAGTGTATTGGTACCAAAAACTCTGATGAACTGTGAATCACTCAATGGTCGTAAAACACACTGAAAAATATTGTGCAGAAGAAGAAGAAGCTCAGAAAATTTTCGTAAGGAAAGATTCTGGAATTCAAACTCTATTTATAGAGTTGCTGGTATTGTTTCTGAAAAAGTTTGCAACCTTTCAGAAACATCTATGGCTGTTGGAAAAGGGATGTTTGAAATATTGCGGGAAAAATGTATTTAAAATAATTCGGGAAAGAAAAACCAAATCTGAATCCGAAGCCGAAGCCGAAGACGAAGCTGAAGCCGAA